TTTAGACTAGCACTTCAGATCCTTAGAACGTTTTCACGTCTAAGTTCTTCAATTCTACTTGTAACAGTTGTCGATTCTTATTCAATAAAAGCTTTCTTACGATTTCTTATCTCTTTATTCTTTGTTGTTCATCCATATTCCTTTAAACTCGTTTGTTTTAGTGATTTCCGCAGAGATCCAGGACCTCGGGAAAATTAGGATTTTTCCCTAAGTTTCCATAATTGACGGAAAATCGACGGTGTGGATTTCGGTTCCCACAGCAGTTTTCTGTTATTATCAAGAAAAACACCATCTCTGTTTAAAACACAACAAGAGTTTACTTCTTACAACCAGAACGGATGGATCCTACACGAGGTTACATAAGATAAAAGGGCAACGATCCCAAGCTTAGGTTTCAATATCTACTTCCTCATCGCCGGGAACCACGCCTTCTGTATTCTGCGGATCCGTACTCGGCGCGACGTCTTCCAGATTTCCCACCTCCGGCTGATCAACCGTGGGCACGGGGGCAACCTGCGACGCCACCTCCGTAGTACGAGATTCCGAACCAGCGACTTGTTCCCCAGCCTCGGAAGATATCACCTCGGTTTGACCACCTGCGGAGGTTGGGTCTGCGGGGAGGGTCGCGACGACGGTTTGAGAGTCAACTACCGGAAGTGTAGGAAACTCGTCTTGTGGGCTGCGAAGTCCTCGTGCGACTGTCAAATCAATTAATCCCGAGTTGGAGCCGAAGGGGTCGATCCCGGACAATAAGCGATCGTCCACAAATAGGGACGGAAGCACTAAAGGAGAAAGTGTCAGGGAACTTTCAGGAAGGTCTCCAACCTCCACGCTATTCATCTGCTCCTTGTACTCCGCAGCTTTCGTCTCGAAGGTCGCCACAATGCTATCCGGAATAGGATGACCCTTCCCGCGGATCATTTCGAGGCAGCTCTTGACCCCGGAAGCTTGACCGAAGAGTTGACGCTTCTCCTCGTAGATGTCCCGACGAGACAAGTAATCCCGAATGTTCTGGAAACAGCGCTGAAATTTAGATGCATACGCCGTCTGAACGCAAACTCTCTCCAGCGTAACCTCGTGGGTACGTGATCGCCGCAGTCTCTTGAGCTCCTGGTCTTTCTCCTTGATGATAGCAGCCATTGAAGCTTTCTCGCGCTCCGCCTCGCCCAACGCCACTCTGGCAACCCTAGCTTCTTCCTCTCGGGCGTCGGCTCTCTTCTTGTAATCCAGGTTGCGGGCGCGCGCCCGGTCCCTCTCCTCCAGAAGCTTTTTGGAGACTTCAAGCATTTCGGCCTTCTTCTTCTCCAAAAGAGCGTCCCTCGCGGCAACTCTTCTCTCGGCCTTCTCGCACTTCTCCATCGAGTGGCGGAGGGCTCGATCGTATTTGTTGACCACACGGTTCCGTCGAGCCATAGCCTGCGCAATAGATGAAAAGGAAATCGTTGGAAGAGATCACAACTCAAAGAAAATAAATTCAAGTCGAAGGAGAAAGGGACTAACGTTAATATCGGCGCTAGCGGAGTCGGTGAAGTCATCGCCGAATATCAGGTCCGAGACGGGGGGAAGTGGCTTAGGTTCAACCCGAATCTGGCGAACTAAATCAGCACACTTGTTCGGTAACGAGCAGAGCGGGGCCACGTCCTCGTGGTGGAAGTCCACCTTATCGTTAAAACCCTTCACTACGCGACCGGGGAGAGTGACCCCTCCTCTCTCGACTGCCAACTGTGTCGCCCGAGGGGGGGAATCTCTGCCGTCGGCGGGACGGAGACCGGAACAGAACTACCCGGGGCTCGCGGTCTTCGAGCGGATCCCTCGGCTTCAGACGATTTGGACCTTTGGGAAGAAGGAGCGGTAGCGGGATTTTCGGAGACCCGATCTGTAGTCGTAGGCTCTCCCGTATTGGAAGTCCTCGAACTCCCTTTCTTCTTCTTCTTGCTCCGGGAGGTCTCGGCGTCGGCTTCCACCAGGTGCCTCTCATCCCCGGCAGTCACGTTCGGATCCCCGGCAGTCACGTTCGGGCCCGACGGCAAGTTGTGTTCATTACCCGAGCTATCCACCGGCATCGGGTCCCTCTCCGGGATTGGAGAAGAAGTCCGGACATCAACGGTCGGATTTTGCTCTGAAACCACCAGAGCGCGTTCGTTCCTATCCTCGAGGGGAAGAGAACTCTCGGAGATCGGCTCTGCTTCCGAAACGGTGGCGCTCGGTCTCTTCCTCTTCCTCGTTAAGGGTTCGGCCTCGTCACTCACCGACGCTCCGTCCTCATCGTTCCGAGTAGGAATGTCTGTTGCCATTTGGTCCGATGGATCGGTCCCGGTGGTCGGTGCGTTAACCCGAGGGTGCGAAGGTTCGGCTTCCTCAATCTCGTCACCAATGAGGTCGCAAAGATTCACAATGTCCTTCATATTTTTTTTGGCCTTTTTCTTCGGAGGGGAACGCTCTTTGGAGAAGATGTTAAGACGGTTACGACCTCAGACCTCAGCTCGCAAATCAGATCTCCAGTCAACTGAGAAAAATGATGAAGAGGAGCAAAGTTAGAATCTTAGTAACAGAGTAGTCGCGCGACAAAAGAAGAAGAATAAGCTTCCGAGCACCTCTAGAAATCCGGTCAAGTGATCTTCGGATGCGCGAGAAGGAGTTGGACCAATGAAGAGGAGAAGCACGAGCAAGTTTCTGAACGACGCGAAGAAAGTCCTCGGGATAATCCCTCGTATTAGAGTGCGGAACTTCAAAAACAAAGCCAACGACAGAGAAAACGGATTAGTTCTGAAACAAACTTTAAATGTGTTCGGCTAAGTATTCTACCGAAGTTCGAATTCCAGAGGACCCTAAAATCCTCGCTGGGAGGCTCCTCGAATGCGCTCTTATCCGACTTAACGTAGAAATACCAACGTTGCCAATCGTCGGTTTTGTTCGGCGGGCCCTGAAGAATGCCTAAACCGGATCGCATTTTTACCGAGAAATAACCATTCTTCATATTCGACGCCGTCGTAAGCTCTTCAAAGGCCCGAACACTTAACGACAGGTCCTGCTCGGCAGCCATGACCATGAGACCGACGGCTACTCGGAAGGAGCCGTTAATGAACTGGGAAATCGCCGCGTCCCGGCGAAAACAGTAAGCAGTAATCAACCGAGGGATCGGGAAACAAAGGCGGGTGTCCTTCTGGAAATATGATTCGTAAACGCACTGATACCCGATTGGTGGTGTCCAAGGCCTCTGTTTCGCATTCGGAATGATGAACGTCACCCCTTTCCCTCCTCGCTCTCGAAGAATCGTCTTGACGGTCGCTACGCTCGACCGGGTCTTTTCAACATTACCCCAATCTTGGCCGACCACGTCCGTCGGACGAGAGAATTCCGGAGGAAGGGCTGGCAGTTTCTCGAACAATCCTTCCGGGAAGAAGTGAACAGGGATCATCGGTTCATCCTCCGAGCAAAGAGAGTTGCCGGGTGCATCTCTGCCCCGAGAATCGCTCAAGCCCTCTCCCGAGCAGAGAGAGTTTCTTCCTCCGGCGGCCTCCCCTTCCCGCCTAAGTCTCTCGGAATCAACCATAACGAGCAGCCGCTGAGATAGATCTAACCCGTCTTGGTCGCGTAAAGCTTCTTGATGCGCGAGCTCGGATTCAATTAACCGACGCCTGGGAGATACTCGATCTTCGGAGAAGTCGGAACTGTTTGAAATCTCTTTACCTTTCTCGGTCGATATCGGACGCCTACAGAGAGACATAAACCGGAAAATAGAGAGAGAAAATAGAGGAAAAGAGAGAGAGAAGATACCTGTGAAGAGCAAAGAAGATGAGTGAATGAAGAAAGGAGGAGGCTATTTATAGAGAAAGGGAAAAAACACGCGTTCCAATGAGTAATAGTTAGGTCTATGAGGCCTATTGGGCCCACAATATACCTAGAGACGCGTAAATCGGCCCGAGACTCTTCGTCTTCCGAGTAAACCGACCTCGCGAGTCAAGGTTAACCGTCTCGGTTAAAGCTAAACCGAATCCGGTTTGCACCGAGTAATTTGTTCTCCCGACCATTTTATCCCAATTCGCCAAACCCGATCACCAGCTATAGCGAACTGGGGGGGACTTATTGTAGGGGATAGGATCAGATCCATCCCTCAAGGCCCGTTGAACAAAGGGGCCAAGCCCATTACTCGGTTCACACGAGCGAGGAGAGCCTTTGGGCGCAACGCGACAAGGGAGTCCGTGCGAGCTTACGTCATCGTCCGTACCGAGTAGCATGATAAGGCCCACCGAGGAAGCCCATGAAGCGAAGGATACGGCCCATTAGGTTTTCCGTACAACAACCTATAAAAACGAAGAGATGGAGAACGAAAAGAGGATCCGAAAATAGATTGACTAAGCGGCAGCCGAACTAGGGTTTTCACCAAAGCGTTGTTCTTAGATCTGTCCGTACAACAACGAGGCTTCCGAGCATCGTTGTTTTCTTTGTAATCTTCGTTTTCCGATCAATAAAATCTCTCTTCATTTCTTACTTGTTCGCTCACATCTTCGAAATAACCCACCGACGAGTTACCGTCGATTACTTACTTGTTATCACCGAACTCGGTTCAAACAAATCTACAATCTCCTCATCTCTTCTTCCTCAACTACCCAAATCCACGACTCACCGGAAAACCCAATCTCTGATCTCAGCCTCCCCACTCTTCGCCGTATCTTATCCGACCCAGATATCAAATCCCGTAAATGCGTCTCTTTTTTCCAATTCATCCTCGAAAACCCATCTCTTTTCTCTTTCCGACCTGATCTCAGAACACACTTGTCTCTGTCTCTCCGTGTCCTGTCGGAGAGGAATTTCTCTGTCGCGCGGGAACTGTTGAAACCCGACATTCTCAGGTACCCTTTTCACGTCATCGCCTCCAGCGTCTTCGATGAGTGTCGATTCGAGACGAAAGTCGTCGCGAGGCTCTTTAATTCGATGATCATGGTGTATTCAGACAGTGGGAGATACGATGAAGTTGTCGAGGTTTTCGAGTGTATGAAGAACAATGAGGTTAAAATTGATGAAAAGACTTTGACTTTGCATTTGATGAATCTCAGGAGAAGTGGTGAGGTTGAGTTAGCTTACGACTTCTTTCGTCTAATGGTTGCTGCTTCGGAGTTAGATGTTGTGTCTGTGTACTCTTTAACGGTTGTTGTCTCTGCGTTGTGTTGCCATGGAGAGAGCAAGAGAGTTGGTGGAGGAGGTTGAAATTATTAAGGCTAATATCGTCACGTTTAGGGCTATGATAGACTGTTGTGTTAAGAGGTGGAACTTTGAAGAGTTGGGTTTGGTTCTTGAGTTGATGGAGAAGGAAAGGGTGAGTCTTGATCTTGATGCTTACAAGATTTTGATTGCGGTTTTTTGCTTAACTTGGGCAATCGTGTGATTAGTGATTTTTTCGTTTGTTCTTTCGAGATGACGATCTTCAAGTTTTCCGCGGATTTCCTTTGTTCGGAAAGTCTTTAGCATTTTATAAAACAACTTTTCGTGTTTTATAAAACATATTTTTAGTTTTTCGAAAAGTTTTGGTCATTGATTCCGTCGTACCGATTTTGACCCTAACATATATGTTATTTAAATGAATATTTTTGTAATAACTTTAGAAAAATAAAATATTTTTAATTTTTAAATATATACTATGTTGTTTAATATTATGTTTTAACATCAATTTTTTTTTGTGAGATCCATTTTGTGAAATCATATTATATATAAAATATTTTTATACATATATATTAACTTTTTATTTTTTTTTACATCGAAAGAAAATATACTCATGTTGACTCTGCAAAATTTTATTTGCATAAATATGTTTTCTTTCCTTTTTGTAAATATACTTTTCGTTTTTAGTTTATATGTATATTTATTTTTATTATATGTTGTTTCAAAAATTTAAAAAGAAAATTAAAATTAGAATATAATTTACAAAAATTATTAAATATTTTTAATAATAACAATTAAATATAATATTTAAATTCATTAAAAATTAACGTGATCACAACAGGTAAGAAGCTGATATGTCAAATCTCTATAATATTATTTGAGAAGTCACTTTCTTAGGTGTCGCGCTCACGTTAATTCTAACTCTGGTTGATTACTATGATACCCCTAATGAATTAAAAATATATTTAAATATTATTATTTTCTTTTTAAAATCTTCCAAATAACAATATAAAATTAAAAGGAAATATTTATAAAATTTACAAAACTATTTAACAACGAAAAAAATAAGTATATATATATATATATAATATGGTTTCATAAAAAAGGAAAGTTTACGAAATAGTAATATTTAACTTAAATATATTTTTAAAGAACATAAATTATACTTTTTAAGTAATAAAATACTTTATATCTATATCTACTTAGATGAAAAAATATTTGTATATATTGTGTTTTCATAAGAAAAGTTCATACAAATAATCTTGATATTAGAAAAAGAAATATTTTTTCTTTAAGAAAAAAATTTAAACAATAAATTATATATTTTCAAAGTAATTATTTTTTGTATATATCTATCTATTTTATTAGATGATTACATAAAATAATTAAGTAACATAAAAATAATATATGTTTAATTGACAAACAAAATTATAATTAGTATTATTGAAATATGTTTTTAGTATATTTATTTGATTATAATATCTACAATTACAGCAAAAATATAAATTATATTTTACTTATATAATATAATTTCTCAAAAACAATCACATTTTTACTGCATATTTTAAGAGATATTAAAAGCAAAACTAAAAATAAATTTAATAATAAACATGTTTTGATCAAATAGATATATTTTATTTTAATAGTTAAAATTATCTGCTTTCTTAATAACTCTCTTGATGTTTAATTTTCTGTTTTTATGTTCGTGGAATTTAATATAACCATAATCAAAATACTTAGCAAATCAGAATTCCTTATTTTTAAAATTATTTAAAATAAATTTGAGTTTACCATCCAATCAATCTAAAACATAATTTACTTAGAAAAATAATTTAATTATTATAAATATTGATATGTGTTCATAAGCTTCCAAAATTTATTATTACTTATGTATGTAATATAGAATCAGACACTTTATTATTATTATTTTTTACGTTCTAAGCACAAAAAATCTTAAAATACATAATCTTACTAAGATATAGTTATATTTCTACAATAAAAACCAATATAAATGTAAATAAAACAATTAATCAAAAATTTAAGATATTTAGAATAAAAAAATAATAGTTGAGTTCAAAGAAATAGATAGAATCCAATATATATATATATATATCCAAATGATAAAACTGACTAAATATAATATATCTAAAATTATATATAACTACAATAATATAATATTATTAATATAAATTATACATACAAACTATAAATTAATATAAAATTTAAAGTAAATATCAATTAACTATTATAATATATATATTTTATAAATATTTGTGCCCGTGCATGAACACGGGAAAATCACCTAGTACTATTATAACGACAATGATGAGATAAAATTAGCATAATAATTAATTGATAAATTAGAGTCAATCTAAATGAATTTCTGTTTTTTAGAAGTATGTCATTTTTGGCTTTTCCTATGATAATGGATTTGCCTGCACAATTTTTTTTTAATATATAACTATATGTTTAGCATATTAATTGAATGTTCAAATTCTAAAATTAGTATAAACCTAATATTTCTTTTATAGTACTTCTTTTGTGTGTTAGGATCCTTTCATTGAAGCTAGCTAATCTCATTTGTTTCTAAACGGATTCTCATTTTCTACAGAATAGTTGGCTGTCAGTTATAACGCTCTTCGATGATATTCTCTGACAGTTTAAGACTGCCTTCTTGTAATGCTTACAGCAAATACACCGAAAAATGAAAGTCAGCACGAAAACCAAATAAATAAATAAAAAGAACTTGATAATATTTGAATACAAATACAAACACAACCAGCAACAAGTTTTTCTTAAAAAAAGCAAAAAAAAATTGCGACGATTAATTTTTGTAGAGCATATATAAGATTAAAAGGTGTTTCTGGCTAGCGTAATAAACTCCGAGCTTCCTGATAAAAGCCCGTTTTTCTCTTTCGTCCTTCTAATCTTCAACAGTTCAAGCTTCAAGGAGAGGGTGTTGCTAGAAGCAAATAAGGAAACAATATAAATTAATTTCAAAGCGTCGTGGTTAATATAAGTTTGGGTTACCTAGCTAGAAAATAAATATATAAACAGAAGATGAAACATTAATATCATTTAGTTTGGCTCAACCAGTAGTTTGTTTTGTAATGTAAAATTATACTAGAGTTTTTACCCGCACGTTCGTGCGGGTATATTTTTTATTTTTAAAAATTTATTTAATATTAATGTAAATATTTTAAATATATAAATTTATATTTTTATGCTATATATTGTGTTTTTATTCAAAAATTAAAGAATATTATATATTAATAATTTTGAATAAACGGGTATATTTTTCATTTTTAAAAATTTATTTAATATTAGTATAAATATTTTAAATATATAAGTTATATTTTTATGTTATATATTGTGTAAATTTATAATATAATTGGTGTAGGTTTTTATTCAACATTATTAATATATAATATTCTTTAATTTTTTACTTTGAAATTTATAAAATAGTATAGGATTCTTTTTTTTATTATAGTGAAATTTTAATTAATATTAATGTATAATAGTATGATATTATTAATTACGAAATGCATTATTATTTTATTTAATAATAAAATATTTAACTTTTTAGTAAGATTTTGTTAGATTTTCTCTCAACCGATTCTGTTATAACTGAAAATAAAATGTAAATCTATTATTTTCAACATATATATGATATATATTTGATTGATTAACCTAAATAATTTAATATGTCATACTAAATAATTAATGAAATAGTCCTATATGACTTCTTTGTAGTAGATAAAAATAGTGACTCTATTTTAATAGAGTAGATTCAACAATGAACTTACCTTTACACTTGTCACCGACGGGTACATCCACTTTGCAGAGTTCAGGGAGGGTAGAGGTAATCCAATCTGATTGTGGGAGGGCCTTCAGTGAGGGCAAAATGGAACATGCACATGCAGTGTCCCCAAATAATTTCTTCATCACATCACAACAAATTGACATCGGGATGCTGCCCAAGTTACCGTTTCCGGCCATAACTGCACATTGATCCAGATTCTTCACTTCCTCTCTCAGGGATTCAGCCGTCTTTGACTCACCGCAGGCCAATTGACCGTCAGCACCGGCTCCGATAAATATGATCAGGCCAAGAATGCAGATAAATTTGACTAAAGATGCCATTGTGATTTTCAGGGGGGGGTGCGTGTGATGTGAGTAGTGTCTCAATCTCGTTTGTGGGATTCAATCGGAACCGTGAACGTTATTTATAGAATGAAATTGTAAAAATTGGATGGTGAATTTCTGCGAGTAGTCTCATCCAAAATATATATTTTCAATCAACACAGCGTGTTAAATGCTGTGAGTACAATATATAAAATACATAATTTGAGCAAACTGTTAAGATATTGGAAATATTCCCCCAACATACATTATGCGCATAACTGGTTGGAGAAAGCACATTTCCAGAAGAAATATATTAATACCAGGCTATTTGATTCCAAACGAACTCACATAATGAAACTAATTCAAATGAAGTTTTATATTAGAACAAACAAAATATATTATCTCTTTCAAAAAAGGAAAATATATTGTGATTTAATTATGTCAACTAGAATTAATCAACTATTTTTAAAAAATATAATTTTGGTCCAAAACCAAATCAAACTATCCGACCAAACTATTTTTTAAATAAATGGATTCCAATTTTTTTTTTTTTAATTTAAAACTCGAAACGGCACGTATGACCCCCCAAGTTCCCTTAAAGACACGACCCTATAGAAATTGGTTGGTGTGGATTTCAGAATCTGGCTCTGATTTTGGAAAATATATCGATGATTATTAATACCTAGTGGTAGGGCTGGGACTTTTATCCAGAATCCACATTCGATTCGAGACCTGCTCCACATACGTGCCGAAATTAAGATATCCGGAAGTGTCTGGATCCAAATCCGAATAGTAAAATCTCGGATCCGTGCAAACTCAATCTGGATATCCGAATTCGGATCCGTATTTTAAAAAATATATTCAATTTTTAAAATATATTAAATTTTTTCTTATTATTAATTATATATGATATATTAATATTTATACATAAAATAAGTTTACCAATATTCTACTTTTATGTTAATAATATTATATGTCATATATATACATTCATAAATTATGCTTAAATATTTAGGTTATGTATTATTTTTAGAATTTATGATTTTTTAACTTTTTAAATTTTTAATTATTTCTACGGATCCAAATCCAAATCCGGATACCCGCGGATATCACAATATCTAGACAGATATCCGGAAAACACAAATTCGAATCCGGATAATAAAATCACGGATCCGACGAATCCGGATCCGGATACTTCAAATTTCCCGGATATCCGGATCCGTCCCACCCCTACCTAGTGGTTGGTCTGCCCATAGAATGGAATGTGATTTATTTGTTATTTGAATTAAACTATTTATCATAAACAATTGTTTTTGGTTTGTTAGATTATCATTTGGAACAAATAATTTTGTAATTTTTTGGATATTTATAAAATTATGAAAATGAAAAAAGAAATTGACGAAAAATTATTGGAATATGAATTTAATGTGTTATCAGTTCGATTGTATGTTAACGAAGGTGAAATTATTTTATAAAATATTGATCATTTTAATTAGTACATATTAAGAGACAATTTCAGATAGAAAAGGAGTGGTCGGTTTGACCTAATTACCTATTTGGTCAATTAGTTGTTTCAGTTCATATATGACATTGCTAATTTTATTGATTTTACCAATATTGTTATTTCTTTTGTATGATTTGTTTGCAAGAAAAACTTCTAAAACTATTTTACTATTATATCACTTCTAAAAGTTACATAGTTTATAAAGGTCAGCAAAATACACACATAGTTGATTATTCACACCTATTGTATTCATCATATTTTTTTTGATCTTTTGATTCTTATTTTCCTAGCATCAACATTCATACAGTAAATAATTAAAGTGTTCAAATTCGATCAATCTAAACGCTAAAATAACATTTAAGCAAAGAAAAATATTTACCAAATTTTCGTATTTGTATATTGAACATTATGATCATTATTGTAGATCCTAAAATCCACACTCAGTATTTTGTAGTGATCGAGAATTCAATCAGGGGAAGACAAATTATGTGGGCAACAATGCTCTTAAACACAACGATACAATTGGAATTCGGTTGACAAAAATGGACTTTTTATTGAATGTGAGATTCGTTTACAAGGTGATGAACAAGATCAAAAATAACAATGAAAAGTAAAAGCAATAAGCGAACTAGAAATATGTGGAATGAAGCCGATGTGATTAGTAAATAGCTCTAGGATTTTCCGTTCCTCTTCTGCACTCTATTCTAGCTCTTTTTTATAGCCTTCTCATTCTCTAATTGTTTCCGCGATCTCCAGGATATCATCTCGACCTCGTAGAGTCCGGTTCGATGTCGAGTTCATCATAATTTTAGATGGGCTTGGGCCTACTTAAATAGGTGCTGAAATTGAGTCCAACATTTGTCCCCCAATCTTATTCTTTTGTTAAAAAATTAAGATGGCTTACTCGGACTCAATTGACAAGAAACGGTTTAGTTTTCGCGGGCAGAAACCCGACACGTGTCCTCTCCCTATCGGCGGACCGTTGGCGTTTGTCTCTAACGGCTACTTGTGCCGTTTTCAATGAGAAACCTAATCATTATCTCCTCCTTAATGATAAAGCCGTTTCTCGGTGTCGGTGAATTGCCTTATAAATACGGGAAACCTTTCTTTCTCTCTAAAATTTCTTTCTTGTGCGATTTTCTATCTTCAAGCAAAGATGGATGCAACATTCACTTTTCCTCTTCCGACGACCACTACCGAATATCTTGCAGATTTATATTTGACTTGTGGTGTTGATCGGAATGTCAGGTTCGAACTAGCTACTATGCTCGAGATCCCTGAAACCGTTCGTGAGGGGTTTTACGGAGCGTATCTCACATTCTTCGAGTCTTGCGGCTTTTTCTTTCCGATTCCTGGCCCAATCCTTGAAATCGCGGCTAAATTGGGTATATCTCTTACTCAGATGTGCCCAAACTTCTTGAGGCATCTCTTGGCACTCGTGGTTAGAGCTCGCGAGGAGGGTTTGCATTTTGGTTTATAGGAGCTACGCCACTTGTGCTTGTTGAAGAGGAACATTCAAAGCCCGGGGACTTTCCTTATGTCACCGCATGTAGGACGCCATGTTATCCAGGGGGTTCCATACCTTGATCAAGTTTGGCGAGAGAAGCTCTTCGTCTTTAAGGTCGATCATTCATCGATGGCCGATTTTGATTTTGTGAGGATCCCTTGACTTTGGTCTGTCGATATAGGTTAGCTCTGATTTTTTTATCGTATACACTTTTTTTCTTTTCTTTTTCTTTTTTTTTACTTATCTTTAATATCCGACCTCTGCGGTCGTTTTATGGTTTTCCAGTGCATTCTGGGAACTCTCTGATGTCGGACGAGCTCCGTGGTCTTTTGAAGATGTTACAACGAGATCGCCGGATTAGTAGTCCTGTGATGACGAGCGCATCCGCGCTGCCTTCTTGCTACACGATGGGACCAATCGAGCACCGGCTGTTTCGAGCCGCTCGATTAAACTCAAAGATATAGTGGGTCCTTCTAGCGATCCTCCTTTTTCCGCAGGTCGGATATAATGTTGATTAGGAGGTCATCGTTCAGGAACCAGAGTCGTGTCTCGGAGAGCAGAGACCTCGAGGATTCGACTTTGATCCCAATTCTGGTTTCTGACGCCGAGGGGACTTCGGGGGGATCCCCGATCTCTCTAAGTTCTGGTTCGGAGGAGGACACTGATGTCAATGACCGCAAGCGCCGTCGGTTGTCGCTTCGAAGCTGCAGTACAGCGGCTCCGAGTCCTTATGTTCTACCTCCAGATTCTCTTGAAGAAAGAGAGGCGTATGCCAATTCCAAGGTTAGTTATATTTTTCCTTGTAGTATTATTTAATGAATCAATCTTATTATGATGTTTCTGATACTTTGTAGGTTATGGTTGCTGTCGACGAGTTCGTCGCAATGTTTGAGGGCCACAGTGAGAGAGATCTGGCGAGGTCGCGGGCTGAAGCGAAGAGTCTCGGAGAATCTCTCCATAAGGTTAAGGAGGATCTCAAGAAGAAGACTGGAGAAGCTGCGTACTTGAAGGATGAGTGGAGGAAGGCTTGCGAAGAAAGGATGGTATTTGAGACCGAGGTCGTCAATCAGAAGACGATGGTCGTCAAGTTTCTTGCGGAGAGGGAGCGGGACATCCATCGCGAGTCTCGTGCCATGCGTCGTGAGATCGTCGATCGCCGTAAGGAGGTCCTGAATCTTGTGGAGAATAAATGGTTGGACAAGGAGAAGAATACCAATGCAGATATCCTACTGAGGGAGGTGATTGCAAACATCGACATGCTTAATGAGATCAAGAACAGTGGACTGATCATCGACGATGAGTTGGCTCGTCTTAAGGAGATGGAGAAGGATTGTGAAGGCCTCGTCGAGCTGGCTGCCGTTTCGGATTGGTCTGTCTCAGATTTGGATCTCCCCGAGGTTTCTGGTGATTCGTTTGTTGCAGAATCTTCTTCCGGGTACGAAACTGATTCTAAGGTTTATCTATTTTAAAAAAAAAAAAATCGGATGTCTCGTGTTTCGTTTCTATGTTTTCTTTCTTTTCCTTTTTAAATAAAAATGTTCTACTGATAATCACGGATTTATGATATCCGAAAATTTGAGATTTTATTATCCTCTTTTTAGTTGATTATATTCGTTTTTTTATCTTCGTATTCCCAAGAGTCATTTTCCTTCTATCGTTGATCATGACATCGAGAAAAACTAATACGCGTGAGTCCGAAATAATTGGCAATCAGAACAATGGAGCGGGACGGATTTGTTCTAGTGATGTGAGTGAAGCACTCACTGAGGTTCTTCGCGAGGAGCCTCGACTTCCTCGCGTTACTGCTCAATCCGAAGCCAAATATTCAGATGAACCGAAGAACACAACTCTTTTGAGTTCTGGTAGTTCTAATAGCTCGGAGGGACGCGAACGTCCTCCGAAGAAGGCGAATATTTCGGGGAATGATGCTTGACCCGGCCCTGCGAACAAAAGTGCGGTCGCAAGGCCGTTTCACTGGCAGTATTCCCATGCCAAGGATTGTCCAATCACGGATGATCCTGACAGTTTCGCTCATTTGGTAAGGCATTTCAAGCCGGCGGGGTGTCCTTTTCTTTCGTTGCGGAATATGACTGAGCGTGACGCTTATGTAAAAATGGCGGTTGCACATGG